ATAAGAAGTCAGTCTTTTAGTTGGAGTTCATTGTTTTAGCATGTTCTAGACCCAGGCCAAGTGCGCACATCCCTAGTCTCATTCAAGACTCACAGCTCTTTTCTGGGGAGACACTGTTATTATAGTTATTTTATAGAGCACCCGAGATGTTAGGTAACTTGCTCCAGGTCATACTAGCTAAGGGTCCATGCCTCTGAGGAAAGGCTCAAAGACTGGCAGGGGCCAACTGTGCTCTGCAGTCTGATCCTGCAGATCAAAATAGCGCCTGGGATGGGCGTCCATGCATTGAGACCCCTGTGAGCCTAATGGAAGAACTGGGGAGATGGCCTCAGTCTTTCCAGACTGTATCCAAGGTTTCTTGTCCCTGGAGGCCCTTGCTCCAGACACTTGCCAACTCCTCCTCTAAGACTCTTACCACAACTTTGGGGCCATGCAGTTATTTGAGTTCTGCTTTGAATGGACACATTTTTGACTAAGCCCTGTCCTAAGCAAGAGTAACCCAAGAAACTATCGATTTAATGTGTTAATTATATATTTTCACATTTGTTAGTATATAATTACTAAAACAAAATAGTGTTCAACTTGGTATCCCTTTAAAATCTTCTCTGGTGCTGCCAACAGTGGTGTGTGCTGACCACACCTGGAGGCACTGGCCATCCCACAGTGCTGAGGAAGGGCCAAACAAGCCATCCTCTCTTTGCCTTCTTCAAAGATTTTAACAGCAACTACGCAGCAGGTGTGCAGTTCCGGTTCCTAGCTGTTCCCTGACCGAGGAGGACTTTAACCTCCATGGCTATGTTTTTTTCCACCTAGCCTCTGCTGACCCTTGCCAGCTGTGGCGGTTTGAATGCCCAACACAGGCTCCTATACTTGCACACTTAGCATGCTTAGTCCCTAGCTGACAAACTGTTTAGAAGGATAAGGAGGCATGTCCTTGTTGGATGAGCTGTGTCACTTGGGAGTGGGCTTGGAGGTTTCTAAAGCTCATAGTAGGGCCATTCTCTGCGTGTGGACCAGGAAGTAATAAAGCTCTCAAATACCACTCCAGCACCACCATGTCTGCCCGTGTGCTGCCATACTCCCCACCACGATGAACTAACATTCTAAAACTTATAAGCAAACTACCAGCTAAATGCTTTCCTTTATAAAAATTGTTGTGGCGGTCACAGTGTCTCTTCACAGCAACGCAACACTAACTAAGACACCAGCTTTGGTTATAAGACGAAGGACTGGGATTCCCCAGGCACCCCTGGGTCTACAGTTTTGCCTTCAAATCTACATCATATGATTGCTGCTTCAAGAATGTTTCTGAATAGAGGTCAACAACGGGCAAATTCTTTCACTTATTTAAGGAATACCCTACAGGACGGTGTCCTCTCTTACAATGTGCTCACTGGCCCATTCCCATCAGTTGCATTCCCCACCCCCAATAGCATCAAAAACCAAAAACCTCCATTCAAAAGTTGAATCAGTTCTGTATACTGGTTTCTAGTTTCTTTCTACACTTTAATACCCTGTTGCAGAGACCAGCATGGTGGTGCATGCCTGTAATCCCAGTACTTGGGAGTGAGAGGCAGGAGGCCAAGGTCATCTTTGACAACATCCTTTAGACCAGCCCAGACTACCTGAGACTCTGTTACCCATCAACAGATCTGTGCAGATGTTCTGGTGGCTTATGTCACATCAAATTCTTCTATAAAAGTAGTGAAAAAGTAACAAAATGCCCCATGTCCTATTAAATATTAGCTTTTTTTTTAATACATCAAAGCATTAATATCAATGTATCATACATACTAACTAGCTTGTCCACAAAGAGCATTCCACTTACGGTAAAAGAAATAAAACTAACAAAATAAAGAAAACAAAAGTAGGGCTGGAGAGATGGCTCAGTGGTTAAGAGCATTGCCTGCTTTTCCAAAGGTCCTGAGTTCAATTCCCGGCAACCACATGGTGGCTCACAACCACCTGTAATGAGATCTGGTGCCCTCTTCTGGTGTGCCGGCATACACACAGACAGAATATTGTATACATAATAAATATTTATAAAAAAAAAAAAAGAAAACAAAAGTAATATACACCTTCCCCAAAGGAACTGCTCCCTTGGGTTGTGGACATCCCTGAGCAAGTTCCCTCATGCCACATGGCGCCAGTGCTATTAGCTGTTCACTTAAAACTTTCAATACGTACAAACGTGTTCAGAGTGGCTGAGTAGTAGTGATTCATGTCTTTAATCCCAGCACTTGTGGGATAGGCAGGCAGATCTATGAGTCTAAGGCCAGCCTGGTCTAGAGAACAAGTTCCAGGATAGCCAGGGATACACAGAGTAACCCTGTCTGAAAAAAACCAACAAACCAAAACAAATGTGCTCAGAAATGCCTGACAAATGTACACATTTACAATAAGGTCGCATCATAGCCATGCACCCAACGCCCATGTTACTCCCATACACACACACACACACACACACACACACACACACACACACACACACACGTCTCTCCAGGCCTCCTACCATACGCAGCTACAGAAAGGCTGGCCATCCTACAAGGCCACCCTGAAGGCAATACTTTTCACCTGGTAACTGGACAGGTGCTACGGCAGCAGGAAGAAGTGACAAAGTGTAAATATGAAGGCTCTACCCAACTATCAGACAATGTTACAGTAACACCGACGTGTTGGAAGTTTACACCCCTCTTCTCATTTTCAGTGCTGGTAACTAGACTTAATGGCTGCCTCTAGCATTGACAGTCACCTCAGCTGAGTCACGAGAGAAAGTTCAATGAGATTTAGCTGAACAGGCCTTCAAAACGTCCAGGTATACAGTGCGACAGTGTGTAAAAAGCCCTTCTGAGATGAGGTAAAGAGCTGCTGTGAGTCCTGGCTGATAGTTAAACTACAGGTCTCCCAAAGCAGAGCCTGTGTCCAACTCTGAGGTTCTAGTGATGATGATGCTCCCAATACACACAATGTCTATGTATGCGCGCAGAGTGCTCCAGTATGCTCACCAACACACACACTGTCTACATGAATGTGGAGAAGGCTCTTCAGAACCACAACATTACAATAAACACCTACCACACCTTCCAACCTCTATGTAAACCATTTGGATCTAGCATTCCACCTCATAATGATTGAAGTTCAGGGTAAAATGTTTGGTCCTGTTCAGTTGCATGGGGAACCTGATCATCCAAGAAGCCGGTCATATCATTCTGGCTATATACCAATGAATATTTTTTTATTTTTGATTTTTGAGACAGGGTTTCTTTGTGTAGAGAAAGGCTCTGAACTCAGAGTTCTGCCTGCCTCTGCCTCCCAAGTGGTGGGATTAAAAGCATGTGCCACCATGCCCGGCTACCAATGAATAATTTTTAAAAGAATGTAACATTCACACAGCATGGAATATAGAACTTTAACTCTCACAGAGCAGTGACATTTAGAGTCAGAGGTTTTTTGTTTTGTTTTATTTTGTTTTGAGACAGGGTTTCTCTGTAGCTTTGGAGCCTGTCCTGGAACTAGCTCTTGTAGGCCAGGCTGACCTTGAACTCACAGAGATCTGCTCCCGAGTGCTGGGATTAAAGGCCTGCACCACCACTGCTCGCAGCTGCAGCTCCGGCTGAGCAGTGACATTTAGTACAGTCACCCCACCTCGTTTAAGAACTTCTTCATTACTGAGAACACCTGTACTGAGCAAGTCAGCATCTTCCATTCCTCCCTCCGTCAGCCACTGGCAACCCCAACTGCCTCAGTTTCTTCTGAATTGCTTATTCAAATAGTTTATATAAAACATGGACTCTGAAATCGCAGAAATAATTTGAAGTATCATGTGGCAACTCTGAATGTAATGTTTTTGGGTCTGTGGGCTGGAGTTGGAATTTTGCAGGCTTATGATTTAAGAAAAAATAGCCCACTTTAATATTCAAAAGGACAATCTCAAAATTAAGGACAGTCCTTTATACTGGAAACCCAAACGCAGTGTTCTTCCTCTAGACAGCACAAGTTCTGCCATGAGCTGCGCAGGGGTTGGGACATGACTGAGTCTGGTTCCTCATCTCCCAGGGAATGGATTTCATCTTGATGGAAAAGGCTGATGGGAACCAAATCTATGTCAAGATCAACAGAAAAGGACGGCAGGCTTGAAGAGGACACAGGACTTGCGAGTCAGGTTACATCACGACCCCACATAGAGAGGGCATGTAAGCTTTGTGGCTGGCCTCTGCTCTAGAGAGGTGAGAAGCAAGACAATCTTCACAACTGAGGACAGTGGTTCCTCCCCCACGCTCACTTGGGAGGATGTGAAGCCACATTCTACTTGCTTCCTAGATGATCAGTTTCCCATGCAGCTTACAGTCAAAGTTTTATCCTGAACTGTTGTATGTAACCCAAAAGGGGTTTTCAAGATAAATCCTTTAGGTTTCAGAAGCAGAAGCATCTATGAGGTGGGCTTTCCCCTCAGACTTGGAGGTGCTTCTAGTGAGTGTGGATGACCCTGTCTTCACCATGAACTCCACAGAACAGAGAAACAGGGTATGCTTACAAAACATCTGAGAAAGAAGACCAGAACTACAGGAGTCACATGTCCTGGGTTTAGAGCTGTGCAGCAGAGCCAAAGCAGCCAAGACAGCCAGTGCAGACTGAGCACAGCACAATGGAACCCAGAAACAGTCTTCCCATTTACAGTCTGGGATGGGATACAGTTGTCTACATGGTATTCATATGCAAAAGAGTGAAGGCCACCCTTCACCTACACCGTAAAAAGGAACCAACTCAACACCGACCAAAAAGGCCTAAATTCAAGTTGTATAATGACACAACTCTTAGAGGAAATAGCAGTAAACCTTAAGGTTCTCTATGGCCTTAGATGTGACTCGGAGCACAGGTGACAAATGGAAGCAGTCTGTGTAGGTTAGAACCTCTCTACTGAAAAATGTGAAGACACCCGCAGAACTGGAAAACACCTCGCAAAGCCTCTGTCAGCAAGGGCTTGTGCAGAGTCACACAGCCACCGGCCACACCCTTCGGGCCATTCACTCTCACCAGTCCGGCCCCTCCCCTCTTTGTTCTAGTTTTCCTTTTATCAGTCCTGCCCTACTGAGGCCTCCCCTCTTCAGCACCAGGAAGACCAGAGCCACAAGGGTCAACTTCCTCCTTTAGATCCCTCCCAGCCCAGAAAGCGCAGGTGCCAGCCTCTTGAGGAGTCTGTGAAGGTTGAACTTTTTCAGCAGAGCTGCTTTTGACCACCTCACCATTCACCTTGAAAAAAAGAAAAAAAGAACAGGCCTACCAAGTGCACGCAGCAAGACAGTTCATTCAATTAAATGAACACAGAAATGAAAGGTCAGCTAATCCAGAGGGGCAGAGCATGAGCCAAGCCTCGCTAGGGGCTGACCCGAATGCTCCACCCGCGCTGTTGTCTTGGCAAAGGAGCACATGCTAGCCAGGCAGAGCAAAACTGAGAGGGCCTGCCTGCCAGAAGGACTAGGAAAGCCAGCTTCTGGTCAGTTCAAATCCAAAGCCAGGATGGCAGTGCTTCAATACTGCATTCTACCCAGCTACACGGGTAAAACCACTGATTTCACCTCAGAGACCAAAAGGACAGCAATGCCTGGTGAGTCAATCATCAACCCACACCCTCGTTCTTAATGCTCTCTTTCCATCTTTTGACTATTAACATGCTTCAGGCACATATGCGGCCATGCTCGTGCATGCCTCCCTCATCTACTCTTCTTTTGTAGGTATCACTTTCAGTTTCTTCTGAGTGTATGTTTCATCAGGCACAGAAAATGCATTGGTAGCCTGGCCTTCCCTTGACAGAGGACACAGTGGCACTGGACATCACTGCTCCGGATCCTGGCCCCCCCCCCCCCCCCCCCCCCCCCCCCCCCCCCCCCGGCAGCCTAAGGGATGCTGCTTTGCTACTTACTCACTACAAACCCCTTCCCGGTCTGAACACCTCTTCTTACACCATCTCTCTTTGCTTTGGTAGCACCAATTAGCTTTGTCTCTCCCCTCAGTGCCTCTGGAAGGTACAGGCACATACTTGCAGCACTTGTAACATGACCAAGTCTAGCACCGAGAAGACAGATGGTCAAGCACCATGTCAGTGATTTCTAAACACTCCCCTAATAAAAGACATCACACTTTACGTGGGCACAGGCAGGAAGTCAAGACTCAGGTCTGCTGTCCTTTCATTCCATCTGGAGTGAGCTCAGCTACCTAGTTTCTGTCTGAAGTTCAAACTCATTTGGTACAGCACGCAGAGTATGAGAGTGGGGAAGGGGAAGGAAGGAGAAGGGCAGGAACACAAGTCATGACGCTTCTACAGCCATGCCAACTTCTCTTCACGGCACATATCAAGAAATGTTTGTGTCTATGACCATTTCTCCTTCAACAAATTCAAACTTGTAAACTAAGATAGAGCTTTCGGGGGCAGATGTCTCTATTCTACAACACCTTGCGCTACTTAGCCACCAATACAAGGAAGAGTTACCACAGTGCCAGACTCTCAGAATGACATTAAGCATTTTTTTTTACGAGGAATAACGTCACGTTTACTCTGAACTACTCCTGCCAACTGTGCTTTAACAATCCAGCGAGACAGTGGATCTCTCAGGAAGGCTGAGATCCGTAACTCAAGGGGAGGCAGGTCACCATGAACACCAGCTCCATGAAGACAGGCTGCAGCCAAGTACTGGATACAGCTACACAACCCAAAGCCGTGGTGAGTTAATTTCATCCATAACCACAGTCCCCTGGGAAAAGCCTTACCTTCATGCCCCAGGATCTGCATCTTGTGTTTTTCTAGATGACACCATCAGATTGACTAGCCTGTTTCGGTATCCTGCACTCTACATCACTGTAAACACATCAGACCGAGCTCTGTAGAGATCTCTGTGATAAAGGAACCTGCAAGAGCAGCTTCCCATGCTCACCCAGAGTATGCGAGCCCAGAACTATGAGTCAGAAAGCCCAAGGCCTCTGTCACCCACAGCTCCAAGACCTCAGGCAAGTTGGCAAACTCTCTGCTCTGAATTCCACAACTGTAAAAATGGGGCTAATAATACCTGTTTACTACCTCACAGGAAAGAGGGCGACTGCTAATGAACACTTGCAAGGAGCTTTGAAGATGAAAAAGGTTCCTGGGTGCTAATGATGGCAGTGAGGGTCACTCTACTCTCACTGGGAGACACAGACAGCACACTGGCTTCTCCCAGGATGCGGCTCTTCTAAACCTTTTGCTTAAACAATATGAAGAACCCTGGAGGAGGTGAAAGATGGTGATGCTGGGCACACCAGGTAGTAGGAAGAAGCCCAGCGCTGATGGCTCTGCTGAGAGGCTGATGGGTAAATATTTACCCAGGCAGCCTGACTAGTTACTATGGATGCCACAGTTAAGACTATTAACTTGGCTGATAAGTCTCTGCTTCCTGCCAAAGAATTTTTTTACTGAACGTGCTTTTTAAAGCCCCCCCTTTAACATTTAAATGTGAAGTGCAAATGTCAGAAATGACTTTGCTGCTCCAAGTTCAGCCCATCATCCTCACATAGGCTTTCTTCTCTAAAAAGGTGAAAAGTCAAAGCCTGTGCCCACGTGCTGCACTAATGAAGCAGTAAGGCTGCTATGTTCCGACTTACTAAGACCCATGTGCACACACACATACCCCATCAGTTGTTTATCCGACCTGGTAAGGCAGCACAGTCCATGTTCACTTAGTTGAATAGTGATAAATCCAGCTCACACAAAAATGAAATACAAAACTTCATAATTAATATTTTAAAGCTCACACTTAAATATATGTAAAACTTAAAAGTGAAAAAAAAAAAAAAGCAGAATTCCTACTAGTACTATGCTATATAAGTAAGTCACACTCTGCCCCAGAAGTTTATCTGCCTCAGGAAACCTCAGTTTCAATATGTGATGGTCTCAGCTGCACCCAGAAAATAAGTCAGAAGGCCGGGCGGTGGTGGCGCATGCCTTTAATCCCAGCACTCGGGAGGCAGAGGCAGGCGGATCTCTGTGAGTTCGAGACCAGCCTGGTCTACAAGAGCTAGTTCCAGGACAGACTCCAAAACCACAGAGAAACCCTGTCTCGAAAAACCAAAAAAGAGAGAGAAAGAAAATAAGTCAGAAAAATTAAAGTTGGAGTTGAGCCCTCAGGAGGCTGAGGCTAGCTAGCTAGTCTCAAATTCGAGGCTAACCTTAGAGAATGGATTTTTTTTTTCTTTAGAGTAAGTA